CCCTAGGAAAGCAGCATTAGTTGCTATGCCATGCTATGCTATGCCATGCTATGCTGCGCTATGCTATGCTATGTTATGCTGCGCTATGCTATGCCATGCTAAACTATGCCATGCCATTGGCATGCCATGCTGCGCTGTGCTGTGCTAAGCTATGCTATGCTATGCTAAGATGCGCTATGCTATGCTATGCTGTGCTGCTATATGTTGCGCTATGATATGCTATGCTATGCTTTGCTATGCGATGTTATGCTACGCTAAACTGCGCTATGCTATGCTATGCTATGCTATGCTATGCTATGCTTGGCTATGTCATGCAATGCTATGCTATGCTAATGCAGTGCTGCGCTAAGCTACGCTAAGCTAAGCTAAGCTAACTCTCTAGGCAGAGCCTAGGTAGGGAATTGCACCCCTGCTAATGCTTGCTTTGCTTTGCGTTGCTTATGCTTTGCTTTGCTGTCGCTGCTGTTGCTTTGCCTTTGCTTTGCTGCTGTGCTATGCTCTGCTATGCTATGTTATGCTATGCTGCGCGGTGCTATGCTGTGCTGTGATGTGCTGCGCTATGCTATGCTATGCTATGCTATGCTATGCTGCGCTATGCTTGGCTATGCTAGGCTTTGCTATGATATGCTGTGCTGTGCTACGCTCTGCTATGATCTGCTGTGCGCTGCTATGCTAAAACTCGGCGAAGCTAAGATAGATGAAGGTCAGCTAAGCTACGATAAACCTGAGCTAAGATGAAGCTAAGCTAAGCTAAGATGAGATAAACAACGCTAAGCTAAGGGAACGTCACTGGGGGAACCGCGGGGCGGATGCCGGGGAAACCGCCCGGGCCGATTTACATTGCCCGGCCCTTTAAGCACACCGAGTGAGAACCCTTCTAGGCAGAGCCTAGGTAGGGAACAACTGGGTTCTGAAGGCCCCAGAGCGGGACAAGCGTGACAACAAGCGGGGTCCTTTCCCTTCCGAGCGGGACAAGCGTGAACGCACGTGGGCTCCTAACGCTCCAGAGCGGGACAAGAGTGAAAACATGTGGGTCCTTAACGCCCCAGAGCGTGACAAGCGTCAACACAGTTGGGATCCTGACGCTTCAGAGCGGGACAAGCGTGAAGACACGGGGTTCCTAATGCCCCAGAGCGGAACGGCGTATGCCCTTCCCCCCTCGGGACGTCCCTTGGCTCGGCCTCTGTCGCGTTCCCTGGCTTGTCCCCTTGCACTTTCCCTGCCTGTTCCGTGGCACGTCCCCTGACACGTCCCGTGGCGCATCCCTTCGTGCGCCCCTGGCACATTCCGTTGCGCGTCCATGTGCCCTGCGCCCTGTGTCGTCTCGTCCCGTTTCGGAACTGAGTCGGATCTTGGGCTCGAGCTGATTAAGCGTCCCACACGTTTCGACTGCAACCAGCTTTGGGCCAGCTACGCGCTCAGGCAGCTCGAGCTTAAGATCCAGATCATTTCGGTCAGGATTCGGAGGCCAGGGGTAACGTGATGCACAACGCTAGGAGGCCATTTCTTTATTGCGTGGGGCATGACGGGCGTCATGGCCCCCGCTCCCCCCCCCCCTATGACGTAACGCTCCCCCCCCCCAGTGCGCTCCGGGCACTGCCGCCGTGCGCATTGGGATCCGCGCAGGTGTCCGCGTAGGAATCCGCATAGGCGTCTGGTCCGCAGGCGTCGTCGTCGTCGTCGTCGTCGTCGTCGACGTCGTCGTCGTCGTCGTCGTCGTCGTCGTTCGTCGTTCGTCGTCGTCGTCGCTCGTGGTTCGTCGCTCGTCGCTCATCGTCGTCGTGCGCGCGGACGCGGCTGGAGCCTGTTTTTAAGTCCGGGCCGATGACGGCAATCATCTGGGGGGGGAGGGGGTCGATGACGTCACGTTTCGCGCCGGCGGCGTTTGGGAATGGTTAGGGATGACGGAAGACGGGTAGCACGAACATGTAGGTGGCGATATGCACCACAATGCCTGTGTACATCACAGTGCCCGCGTGCACCACAGCGCCTGTGTACACCACACCGCCGATGTACACCACAGCAGCCGCGTGCAACACAGCGTCAGTTTGTGCCACCGTGCCTGCGGGCACGGCAGCTCCTGTGTACACCACAGCGCCTCCGTACACCACATCAGCCGTGCGCAACATAGCACCAGTGTGCACCACAATGCCTGCATGCACTGCAGTGCCTGTGTACGCCACGGCGCCCGTGTGCACCACATCAGCCGTGCGCAACACAGCACCATTGTCTAACTAGAATTTCAGAAGGAATTCTTGTGACAAAATGGAGCGCGTGTGGATTCCAGAGAAAGCAATGGCAAACACATCCTCATGGACAAAGGAGCGTCGCTGGAATCCACGAGTCCCCCCGAGACCGCCCGCATCACCCTAACTCCCACTTGCGTCCACGAGGCTCCAGCTAAACTGGCTGTCCGAGAACCAAGTGGACCGATTCAATCGACCATTCTGCGGTGCACGCTGAGATGCGCACGTGCGTTGTAACGCCAGGCCGCACGACAGGGGGTAAGAAGGAGGAAAAGGAACAGGAGGAGGAGGAGGAGGAGGAGTTGGAGGAGGAGGGAGGAGGGAAAAACGTCGCATTCGATTATCAGAAATTTCCTGGCGTGGCGTTTAGTTGTCCGCATCATATCCTGACGTACATATTCCTTCTACCTGTCCTATGCGCGCAGGCACTGTGGTGTACACCAGCGCTGCGTTGCACGCGGATGCTGTGGTGTAGACAGGCGCTGTGGCGTGCACAAGCGCTGCGGTGCACGCGAGCACTGTGGTGTACACAGGCGATGTGTTGCACATGGCTGCTGCGGTGTACGTACACCGGCGCTGTAGTGCTCCCAAGTATTGTGGTATACGCGGGCGGTGCGTTGCACACGGCTGTTGCGGTGTACGCAGGCGCTGTGGTGCACACGCGCGGTGTGGTGCACGCGAGCGTTGTGGTGCACACAGGCGCAATGGGCAGATCGCCACTTACATGCTGCTTGCGTCGTCGTCGTCGCTCGTCGCTCGTCGCTCGTCGCGTCGTGCGCGCGGGCGCGGCTGTGGTGCCGGAGCCACACGGCGGGGGGGGGCGTCACGTCATACCCCCCCCCGCCCACCCCCCCCCCCCCCCATGACACCCGTCATCGCCGAACATAAATAAACGCCTTCTAGAGAACACAACGGAATTCAGCGCGGCATGACACATCTTATTTCGTCGCGGCACAACACAGCACAGTCCTTGGCACGGTATGTTACGATGAATACATTCAGCATTGTAAATGCTTGTCGCCAAATCTGGTGTCTTGAACACGTAGCCATGCTTCGCGCTTCTAAATTCCTTTCCGCGTTCGTGGGTCGATCATGCATGATGTTTGAAGGATTTCAGAATGCTCTCAATATTGGACCTCCGAAAGCTGCAGACGACCCGAGAGTATGCCAACCAAGGTCGCCCAAGGACGGCCAAACAGGAGTAACGGCCCATGGCTCCCAGACGGCCGAAGAGGTCCCCAAGACGACCCAGGAAGCCCCCCCACGAGCGCCCCCCGCAAGGGTCCAAGACGAGGAGCTCGAAGGGGCTTCGGGAGCACTGCCCCCGAGACCCGAGGCAGCCTCCAGGACCTCCAACGTGCTTTCAAGAGGCCCAGAGAGCCCCCCCAGACGCCTCCACGAGGCCCCCAATGGCCCCCACTAGGCTTCCCCAAGGGAAGCCAGACCGGCCCAAGGGGGCCCCGCGCGATCCGCGAAATGGGAGGAAGTAACGAGGAGGATGAAGAGGAGGAGGAGGAGGAGGAGGAGGAGGAGGAGGAGGAGGAGGAGGAGCGGTTGGAGGAAAACCACATCGAGGAGGAGGAGGAGGTTGGAGGAGGAGGCGGAGGAGGAGGAGGAGGCCAGTGACCGCTTCAACCTGGCGGTAGGCGCCCGGTGCCTGGGGGGGAGGCGTCGGCAGCTGGTGCCCCGGGGGGGGAGGGAAGGGGGGCAGGATTCTGATGGGCCAGGGGCGCATTGACCCGGGTTTGGGTGCAGGGTCCTGCAGGATCTTGCAGGATCCTTCGCATTGGTCCGGGTTTGGGTGCAGGATCTTGCAGGATCTTGCAGGGTTCGGCAAGGCCTGACTGACCTGGATCTGGATTGACCCGGGTCAGAAGGCCCCCGAAACAGACGAAACTAGTTTTCGAAAGCTTCCCAGCCTTCGGTGTTCGCCAGGGTAGTTGTTGTGTCATGGTTGCTTCCCCCTGTCCCTCCGGGTGGGTCCGTCGCCATGGGATGTAGTCTTGTTTTGTTTTGGGCTTCGCCGGGGATCATCCAACGGCGCCCTTCGGACGCGAAGATGAGAGAAAGGGGAAATGGAGAGGGGCAAGAGCACAGCTGAATTGTAACACGGACGCCTCCCAAAGCACGCGGGCAGAGACGCCCGACCCGTCGTCGGGCCGAGGGGGCGCCTGTCGGCCTCGATGGGAAACCGGGACATCTAGTCACACTACCAGCGGCGGGCTGTTTTTCAACCCCGCGACGTTTTTGAGGGTCGGGGACGACGTCGGGTTGGGGTGGTGTATACTGCTTGTTTCGTTTCCCAGGGAATCAACGGCACATGTATTCACCAGGGTCCAGTATACACAAGGATCCGCGTTCATGTGTAAACTTCAGTACAGGGCCGGAAATCGCGTCGGTGTATAATTTTCGGTTCCCTACTCGAGGAGGCTGAAGATTGCCGTTGGCGGGCCCAGCGCGACGCCAAGAGACTCCCAGGGCCACCGTGCCTCGCCCAGGACGGCATGAGGCCCACGAGACGGGGCATTTCTGGCTCAGGCCTCGCTGGCCCGGGACCGCTCGCGTCCACGCGCGACCGATACAATCGGGCCGCTGAAGAAGGAGCCCTTTTCGTTGGGGAGGGGCTCGGTGTTCCTTAATTGTTCCGCACCAGGGCCTTGCCTAAGGTTTTCCTTAAGTTTTCGATGTGAAGTCGAGTCGAAGGTTAACTTATGGAAAAAAAGGGGCCTCGTTCCTTATTCAGGGTTCCTTAGGTCAACGCCTCGACTGTACTGCAAGAGCTGCCCCCAGAATGCTCAGCGGGGCAGCCCTGGAGACGTCCGGCGCGGGAGACGCCCTGGCGGTGACGAGGCGCGGGGCCGCGGCACACAGGCTGGTCGTCAAGAACGGCTTCCTCGAGGTGATGGACGTGAAGCCCAGCCTCACGAGCGCCCGCAGCGATGGGGACCTCTTCCGGCACTCGGGCCGCTGCCCCGCCGTGCGGGCGGCATGGCCCCGCTCGCGCGCCGCAGCGCCTCGACCCTCAGCGCCCCGAGGACGGCGTCGACGTCGATGCAGCCGCGGTTCGGTCGGCGGCCTCGCCAGTGAGGACGAGGACAGCAAGCGCGGGGTGGAGGGTTGGCCGCAGGCTCCGAGTGCCGCCGCGCACGCACCGGTGGGCGCGCGGGCCGTCAGTGCGATCGGCACCCAGACTGACGAGCACGCGGATGGCATCATTTGTCCGACGTGTGGTTCGGTAGGCGTGCTTCATGTCTGCGGGCACTGGCAGTGCACTAGACTGACGTGCCGACCTGCCTGGTATCAGCAGCTAGAGGCCAGGAAATGGCTGGTCCCAACGGGCGCCCACGCCCACGGGCGCCCACGTTGCTCAGACTGCCGCCCCGAGAGCCGTTGCCGCAAGGGGGCTTGCCCTCGGTTTTGTAACTTACTCTTTCAGAAGGGGCACATGCAAGTATGGCGCAAGATGTTCCTGGTGTCACCTGCACGAGCGCGCCAACGCCAGTTGGAAGTTCAAAGGCGAGGTCAACGGTGCAGCAGATATTCCACAACCGCCGTGTTGCTCGCATCTACCATCTCCACGGCCCCAGTTGTCTCTGAGATTGAACAAACCGGAGACCCAGGGCTCCAGCGCCACGGTAAACGGCACGAAGATCGATTACGAGAAGGTCGATTAAGCCGATTCCCAACGCGGGTGTTGCGCACAAGCATGGCACGGTGGTACGCCTGGCTTTCAGTGCGCTTGATAGCGTTTGTAGCCTCGCCCAGAGTCTGTCCTGATGTCTAGTTCCGAGGCTACAAGTGATGTCCTGTATGATGAGGCTTGGATAAGGAACCAAGCAAGTTTGATCCATGAGGCAGATTGCAGCAGCATGCTCTAGGGCAGTTAGACACCAGAGTTGGACAGCAGCGAGCCCGACCGCCCTCCAGGGGCCCTGGCGCGGGAGACCCCCGCATCGCTGCATCCGCATCCGCATCCGTTGCTCTAGGGCAGCTGCCACAAGGCGCCTCGAGGGCGTCTCCGCTCGAAATTCCGACGGCGAGCTTGACTTCATAAGGCAAGTTTCTTGAACACGAGTTGCCCGTAATCGCATGCCCCTGATAATGACCCCCTGGGGATGAGAAAGTTCGGGGTTCTGGGGGGATAAGAAACCTCTCGTCCCGGCAACGCGTATGGCCCCCACTCGTCATAGCTGAGATGGTGAGAATCCCATGGCCTTGCAACACGTTTGTGACTTGGGAAAGCTGAAATGGTGAGAAACCAATGAGCTTGCCACACGTTCGTGACTTGGAAAGCTTAAATGGTGAAAATCCAATAGCCCTGCGACCCTGTCGTGATATTGTTACGTCGTGATGAGAAGATAGCAACTTCGACTTGTACTTTCGCTGGCGATGATGCAATTCTTCCTCAACGTCCCTCTCCCCCGACCAATTCTGTCTTGGCCCTGGACAATCATCACTCAGGGTTAGGGGGGGGTGCTTTATTATGGGGTGTGCTCGGTTTTCCGTCTCCCCTTTTGCCTTGTTCGTTAATGTAGTGCCATTACACCGCATCATTATCCTCATAGTGCTCCTGATCGTGCTACTCCTCTCCATGCGATTTGGCGCATCTCATGACTCGCATGGTGTCCACGGCATTCGTTGTCGGAATGTCCGAAGTCTTGGGCTTTGCCTCGTGGCGTTTCAAACATGCTGGCTGTGACGGCGCAGTCAGCTCGGACCACTCACGTGCTCGGTCGTGCTCATTGTCTTGCTATGGGAATGAGAGGTCCTCGCGGCTCTCTGATTCTATGCACCCCCCACATCAAACTTTAAGATAGCATCACGGCAAACACAAAGTTTTTGGCCAACGTTGCCCGCATGCTCGACCCCATTCACTCGACCGTGACTGGCGGAGGCGATTGTATTTGGGTGATGTAGGTGCGAGCAACTCCATTTCCGCGTATGTTTGTGTATTTTCATCGACTGCCCTGGTGTGACATAGGGCCTGGTGGCAATCCAAGCCAGTCCAATACCATGCCATCAAGTCCATGGTCATTGAACGCACGGTCTGACATAGGACCGGGCTGTAAGGTCTCGCAAATGCGAGTGCAATACCATCTGTATTCTACCTTATGGGATCGAGCTTGCCTTTATTGGCAGTTGTGGCAAACGAGCCGCACTTTGCCCTTGAGGTTGCGCAGCACACTTTTGCATTCTACCTTATGGGAGCGAGCTTACCTCAATTGGCAGTTGCGGCAAATGAGCCGCACTTTTCCCTTGAGCTTGCGCAGCACACTCTGTTGGTGATATGTTGATTTCAAGCTGTCAATGCAGACGTTTATGGTTTGGCCTAGGCGAGTCATCCAAGAAGGTGTCGCAAATCAAGCTTGACCCCGAAAAGGTGCAGTGCAATGCCAGACGTTGCCTCCCTTATGGGGGCGAGCTTGCCTTTATTTGATGTCGTTTGCAAACGCAAGCGCGCCGCACTTTGTCCTTGAGCTTGAGCAGCACACCTTTTTTGGTATACGTCGATTTCACGCTGCCAATGTAAGCGTTTACGGTGGATGTTTGGCCTAGTCGATTCGGCGATTGAGGCCGCAGCCTGTCGCTCTGCAGCTGTCGTATGAGGTGGAGCCCCATGCGAACCCTACCACTTGGGCCTTCGACGGAGTTCCCGATGATGCCACGAAGTTTCATGATTGAACCTAAGTTCGTTCGATGTGCCTTTCGAATTGCATTTCGACTGCCATTTCGATTGCCTTGCCGATTCCGATGTTGATTTCATTATGTTTTTGTGCTTCGATTGGCATCGCAATGTGCACGTCGATGATCATTTCGATGCTGATGGTGATCTGTTTTTGGAAGTCCATGTTGATTCGAATTTCGATGTGCAATCGGAGGTTGGGTGGTGAGATCGCAGTGAAACGGAGACCCCCCACCGGGAAGTCGGTTTCGGTTTCGTGTTCGTGTCGTGCGTGCGGGCGAGGCGAAGTTGCGCGTGATCCTCCTGTAACTAGCTAGGCCGAAGTAGGAGCGAAAGTCCGTCCGCCCAGCAGCCGGTGGCCTGGAGTTGGGCCGGGCGGTGTCCCGGGTGTCAGTAGGAGCGAAAGTCCGTTTCCCGTCCGCCGGTGGCCTGGAGGTGGTCCCAGTTGGGCCGGGCGGTGTCCTGGGTGTCCCGGGTGTTCCGGGCGTTTGGCGCTAACGCATGTCGCTAATTTCATAGTTATTTATTTTCGGCGTCTGCGGCTTTTCTTATCCAATCCAGCTTATCTTATCCAATTCATATTGTCCAATCCAATCCATCTTATCCAACCCATCTTGTCCCATCTTATCTTATCCCACACACTCCAATCCACCCAACCCAATCCATCAATTCGTTGTTTTCTGCGCCTGCGGCGGGCCAATCCAATCCATCTTATCTTGTCCAATCCATTTCTTCCAATCCAACCCATCTTATCTTATCCAATCCATCTTATGCCATCCAATCCAATCCAATCCACCCAACCCAATCCATCATTTCATTTCTGTCGGCGCCTGCGGCGGGCTTTCTTATCAAGTCCAGCTTATCTTATCCACTCCATCTTGTCCAATCCAATCAGTATTCTCTAGGCTTACGCCACATCCGCCGACCCCTTTAAGGGGGGTTGGGTGTGTGGGGGTCTGTTTTGAGCACATGTGTGGTCACGCGGGTCACGGTATAGTTAGGTGGTCGAGGCGCTGCGGCGGCGACCCAGCAGCGGACGTTCGAGGTGGAGCGTCGCCGGTGGCCAAGAATATATTTAGTGCTCAGCGGTTGTTTTTTTTTTCTTGGGGGGCTCCTGGTTCTTTTCGCGGGGGCGTCCTGGCACCATTGTTGGAGAGCTTCTGGGGGCCTCATGCTGTTTCTGTGGGGGCCCGCGGGTTCACATTGCCGTTTGGATTCTGCGGTAGGGCCGTCCCGGAGCACTCTTGGAGGCATCTTGGGCCGCGTGGATGCCATCTTTGGCGTCTTCGAACGATGATTTGGCGGCTCGGGGTTCTGGTGAGTTGTTGTGGGGACCCTTTGGGAGCGTCCAGCGGCTGTCGTGGAGTTCCAGAGAGAGCTGGGGGCGAGGGGAACATCCAGGACCGGGGTGCGTGGGGGGGGGTAATTGGAGGGGAAGAGCCTCACACGCGTGGAGAGCCAGAAGGGATCGGCGGATTCGTTGAGCTTGGCATGGGGGCGTCGTGGGTTCCGTTGAACATTTTCGTCGAGGGTTCGACGAAAAAAGGAGGAGGAGAAGGAGGAGGAGGAGGAGGAGGAAGAGGAGATGGAGAAGGAGGAGGAGGAGGAGGAGGAGGAGGAGGAGGAGGGGGAGGAGGAGGAGGAGGAGGAGGAGGAGGAGCAGGACGACGACGACGACGACGACGACGGCGACGGCGACGGCGACGGCGACGACGACGACGACGACGACGACTACGACGACGACGGCGACGGCGACGGCGAACGACGACGACGACGACGACGACGACGACGACGACGACGACGACGGGCGGCGGCGGCGAAGCGGCGGCGACGACGGACGACGACCGACGACGACGACGACGACGAAGCCGACGCCGACGACCCACGACAACGACGACGACGGAGACGCCGACGAGGACGGCGATGATGATGATGATGATGATGATGATGATGATGATGATGATGATGATGATGATGATGACGATCATGATAACGATGATGATGGCGATGACGATGATGACGATGACGACCATTACGAGGATGATGATGATGATGATGATGATGATGATGATGATGATGATTATGGTGATGTCGATGACGATGATGATGATGATGATGATGATGACGATGATGATGATGACGATGATGACGATGCTTAGGATGATGACGATGCCGATGAGGATGACGACGCTGATGATGGTGAGGAAGGAGGAGGGAGGTGGGAAGAGAGGAAGGAGGGAGGATCAGGAAGGAGGAGGATGTAGGTTGAGTGATGAAGAGGAGCACGATGATGATGATGATGATGATGATGATGATGATGATGAGAAGGATGACGGGGATGACCACGATGAGGATGATGACGATGATGATGATGATGATGATGATGATGATGATGATGACGGTGATGATGATGATGGCGATAATGACGATAACGACGGTGATATTGATGATAATGGTGACGATGTTGATGACGATGATGACGATGCTGATGATGATGATGATGCTGATGATGATGATGATGATGATGATGATG